CTCAATGCTTGGATGGCAGGTGTTTGATATGAATACAGATGATAGGTTTATGTCAACATTAATTTAAGTTTTCCACTGATCTTGACACGATGATTTGGAAAAGTAAAAATCTTGATCAAATACCTTCATATGCCTTCATATAATTAAGCAACAGATGGCAAACTCTATGACATTCATACGGTAAGCCTACATGAATGAGCAAATGAGAATAATACTTGACATCTAATGGACAGTAGAGAAATGGAACATGACAGATCGTATAGAAAAGGCTCCTGGGGAACTTATCCCCTTAGTTCTGAGCTGTCTGACCCACTGCATCCTTTTATACCAACTTGAAGCCTAATAGCCATTTGAGCACCTACAGGGCAAATACTTCAATGAGCACCACTCATCTCCAGTTTCACCCATCAGCAGGTGAGGTCAACCATCAAAGGTCACACATTGTCCAGCAACTCTGGCCTCACCTACAGAAAACTTTTTTTTTCAGCACCAGAGCTGCTGTTTGTATAAGGAATGTACATCTGACAGCCTGATTGAATTCTGTCTTATCTGAAATGCTAAGACAGCTGCCAAAGTGCATGTATTCCGGGAGCAATACGAAAAAGACCAGGTGCTGGTTATTCTGGAATTCCAGAAGCAAGTCCAGGGCGTAGGAATGCATTCGTACTTATAAAATGGGCTAGTGTGTTTTAGAAATAAGGACATATGGTGGGTTTTTTTTTCATAAACTGCAGGTTTAATATCTTTCCAGTTTATAAAAGCATAAGATGGTTACAAACAAAAGGAGCCCAGTCTGGACACATAGCTTGTTTAGGTGCTAGTAAATAATTGGTCTTCGAATCTCATCCAGCCACATCTTGAAAGAAGTCAGGGTATGAACAACGGCTTGCTTTCTCTGATTCTTCAAAGACTACTGTTTCAGACTGCTTTAAAGAACATGGCAAAGTGTAAAGTACCATTTCCTCACCATAAGCAACACAAAACAGGTGACTAGTGGTCAAATTGATTTATGAAGCTCCAAACAGCCTTTCTTGGACCGTAGCACTAGTAGCAATCTACCGTAAGTGTAGCCCACAGCAGTATAGTAATGGGCAGTAAAAGCACATGCATAGGATTAATTCTCCACTCCAGCCTCCAGAAAAAGGAAGTTTATTGCTGTTCCATTTTACAAAACAAAAAGAGAAACATGTTGCAATATGTGGGCTTACCTAGAATTAGCAAAACAAACAAATGACTCCTGTGAAACTAAATTTCTTTGGCCTTTGCTGGACAACGAAACATTAAAACAGAATAAATAAATAATAAAAAAAACAATAATTGGGAGCTTGCAAAGGCAGGTCCAATAAAGTAAAAAAAAACATATTGGAAAATAAAAATATATTGGTTAATGAGGATAAAATGTCTCTGGTCTGAGTGTGTATTTTTAAAACATCCTATTAAATAAATAAACATAGCTGCTTTCAAATGCATATGCAGGTTTTACTCTTTTTAGATAGTTCTAGAAAACACTAGCAGTGCTCCTGAAAATGAATAGAGCTTATTAGATTAATGAAAACCTGTTTAACTTACATCAACAACAGAGTGCTATAGGATTTCTACTTTTTGTTGAACTTCAAGGGTGTCACAGCTGAATTAAATTCCACTGTACGATTAAGTCCTAGTCATCAAAGAGAACCAAATGAATTGCATAAACCATGGAATTGTGCTCTTGCTCAGTGCTCTTCAGCATTGTTTAGCTGTGTTTTGTGTTTTTGCTGATCACGTCAAAAAATATCTCAATGAAGAGATAACCATCGTTTTATACTTCAGCAATCACAACAGAATATTATTTTCTCTGTGAAGTGAACTTCCTTTTCCTTTACACATAACTCCACTTCAAAGCACTTAATTGGTGTTTTAATATCACAGAATGGAACCCATTAATAAACTACAGCTGCCAAGAATTAGAATACACTTCCTGGCAAGTTTTATTTTAGAACAGGGGTATAATGCAAGGAAACACATAGAAAAATCTGTACATCTCCTTCAGGGCTGCTAAATCTGTTTGACTCTGTTTTTAAAAGGCCTAAATTAGCTTTCCTGGCCTGTCCCTCTAACACCACCCCATATACAGTAATATTAAGAAGTAACTATAAAAGGCTAATGACATTAATCCCTGTGCCTGGGCCACACAGCTAATGAGAGCATTTAGAGATCCTGTCCTGACTTCACAGTATGAGGCCGAAGCAGCACAAGCCTGGGAAACCCATCACATGATTTACAGCAGCTAGGGGTTTTAATTGAGGGTTTGTTTGATATAGAACTTAGTGTCTCACCCCTGGGGACTTGATTCCTAATCTGTGCGGAGTCTGAAAGTGAGACGCGGAGCTCCAGAGGAATTTGTTTCGAGAAACAGCGACATCCTGGCAGGGAGCCTAAGCAATACAGTAGAAACCCTCTCCAGTGCCCACCCCCCTCCTTGGGCAATTCTCAAGAGCATTGGGGGGTAATTACAATAATTATCGCCATCAGATGGGAATGGAAAGGAAGCATCGAAAATCTTGCTTCCTTTTCTTCTGGATGATCGTCCCGACAGCCATGGTTAGAAAACAAACTCCCCAAATAAAGTCACGAAAAGGCAGCCTTTTGTCATTGCTTTCAATAGTTATTCAGTGTGATTGCCACTTTCGGCTATTTTTAACCGATGTCTTAGATAAGGGCAGCAGTCTTCTAATCTCATGTATTACTTTTTTTGGAAGAAAAAAACATCAATTGAAAGAATCTGCGCCCAAAACAAAATCACACATTTTCCAGAGCACGTTTCTCACACACAGAAAGAGTGTTGTTATGCATGCAGCAGGCTCCAAATATGTTTTTATGTAAATTATATCTCCTGGATTGGGGGAGGTATGTTCCAAACATTGAGACAACAACGGGGGCAGGAGCCATAAGAAAATATCAATTCAGTGTGGGTATGTTGCACAACCTGCGGGCAGTTATGGGCTCTAAACAGAGGAGATCCTAACCCCCCAACACACGCACAAGAATTCTATTTTAAAAACGGCAAAAAACAGGAACTGGACAAAGGAACAGGAAAATAGGAGAGGGGGTGGCTGCAGTCATACAGGAAAGTGCTGATAGTGATCAGAGAGCAATGCAAGACTTCATGAAGTCAGGCAAGCATGGTGACCTTCACTTTGAAGGCCCTGGATTCCATCACCCTCCTGCCTCCTGGGCTGTGTATAAAATCCAAAACACTTGTTTTCCCAAACAAAACCCTTGAAGCCAGGTACACTGTAATTGTATATAACGTCTCCATTATGGTGGTATTTTTATAGTTCCGTCTGAAAGCTGTTCCTATCAAAGTCATTTAGTTCCACCAGCTGCACAAAGGGAGGCTCACTACCGCCTGTGTAGGAGAATATCATCTAGATTACAGTACAAGTGACAGCAGCATATCAATCTTTTCATAGATTGTTCGAACCAAAGCCAAACTTTTAAAAGAGATTGCCATTAATCCTTCAGCACAGCTCTCAGGGTGGTTTAAACTCTTAATTACCTGCCTCAGCGCCAGTAAAAAGAAGTAGCTTTAGTACAGAGTCATCATATGAACTGTGCAGGGCTTTTAGCAGGAAGGATTCAACACAGACCTAGGTGGTCGGCTTCAGAAGACTTCGGGAAAGGTGAAAATCCAAACGGACGGGTGTCCGAGATAATAGTTGGATTGGGATCCATGACACCCTATGGACATTTAACGAGGAAAAAATAATATTTTTCCTGTGAGCTGCAATGTGCAGCTGCATATAGCTGGAAAAAAGGATGGGTCATGGCTTTCAGAGAAAGAGGTGCAGGAGAGGCCGAGCACAGGTCAGGAGAGGAAATCAAGATGTCATAGGCATCAGGGGCAACGCAGATATTCCAGGGTTTCCTTTGAAAACAGGCTGGACGTGTTTTGGGGAGTAATGAGCTCCTAGAAACTAAATGTACTGATTGGACCAGATGGTCTTCTCTCTCTGGAAACTCTTAAAAACCATTCTGTGTCCTCAAACCGTACTGGTACGACCCCCTCTAGGCAGGAGCGTGGAGGAGCTCAGAGCGGTGGATTGTGGGTTCAGATCCTGGATAGGACACTGCGGCAATGCCCCTCCACAAGGTACTTCACTCAAGATTGTTCCGGTAAAGTCGAATGTAAACGTGAATTTGCTCTCCGTTGGAGCATCTGGTAAAATAACGGAATGGTTCGTTTTTGGTCTGACCAGGGAGCTTTCTGCTACATTCCTCCTCTCCCTTCGGGGACCACAGACATAACAAGACTAAACAATCCCTGCCAGTTTAAATCTGCAACCTGCGGCAGACAAATGGAGTGTTAAAACAAACAAGGCCAGAGGTGGCTGTTTCTCATTTTGAAGCATCTCTCTTTGTAAACAGCGAGTTTACAACTCTGTATCTGGCTTCCAAAGCCCTGTTTAGAGGAATTCACTGGGTAAACACATGGGTCTGTGCCACAATACACTTCAGAAGCTGCAATCTTTCAATTCGGCTTTTCGTTTGAACCTGCTGGCATTTAGGATGTTTGCAGACTTGTTCCAATCTAATTTTCACGAACATGTACTGTACTTAGCTGATAAGTGTTAATTCCCGATCCCTCTCCAGCTGTCTCAAAGAACAGCCTTGCCAGGACCTGTGAAAGATCCAGTTGTGGGACCTGTGAGCTTTCTCTCGCATTGCGTTCAGTTTCGCCGAGAAGGTAAATCATTCCCTCTCTCACTCTGCCCTGGTCCGATGAAAGTCTCTGTTCTGTATAGGGAGGCGACAATTGTGGGAATAAAGTTCCGATACTTCCGATAATCACATGGCGACAATCTCACCTGCGAGAAATGTTTCCCTGGAAACAGGATTATTACGCAAAGAGAGCTCAGATGCTTCTAAGGTGTACAGAAAAGTAGCAAGGGGAGACCCGTTTCTTTTCTAAGAGGGAGAAAGGGATTTTCTAAATGAGGGGTAGGTGAAGCATGAAGTGTGATCCAGCCAATCTCCTTTTGGGGCTGGGCTGTTTCAGAGTTTTGTTGAGGGGAGGAGGCTAAGAGGCCATTTGTTCTCACCGAGCCGAGCCTGAGCGGGTGAAACAGACGGTGCCGCTGAGCGCTTTCAGATGTGGACAGGATAACGCAAGCACTCACAGCTCCTGCGACTTTTTTTTGTGCGTTTTCTTTTCCCGATTTCATTTAAGAACTCCTGCTGGTGCAAGGGAAGAATTCTAATTTGCGAGACGTTTCAACAATTAAAAATCACATCAAGCAGTCCGGAGCACTAAAACCTCGTGCTTATTGCGCTTTTATCTTGGAGTTCACTGGAACCGAACTGTCAGGATGTCAGACCTGTCTGTGAATGATCATCTAGAGGGAATATTGTCAGATTTTGAGGGTATGTACTTTAATAATAATCTAACTGGTGTAAATAAGTAACACCACATAAGTAACCCGGTTAAAGCTCTCCAAAAACGTAACAGATGACATAGGAAACAAGTGCGTTCTTTAAAGTTGCAGTTTGAATTGTTCAGAAGGACTGTTACCGTTGTGTTACACTGCTATATTGAAACTCTGTAACTTGCTGCATATCTATTTAGAATGGCTGGTATTTCGAAGTGTATCTTATAGTTAACCTTAGAGTTTGGCAATTGCCTTTACGGCTTCAAATCGTTAAACGCGAGTTTTGTCCAAATTATCAGCCTAGAGACGGAGCATTGAGTGAGCACTGCTTGTTGGCAGTGTTAACTTTGGTGAAGCTAGTTTTTGTTTCACCGAGACACAATCTATCTTCTTTAGTGCAATACGACCAACGGAGCTTTTTCACCAAGTGCGCTTTTAAAAGTTCCGACCGACACCAGCCAATCCTGTCTGTTGTGAGGAGATTTAAAGGCCATCATGAGATATATAAACTGTTGGAATTGTATTTTCTCGTTTCATTCCGGCTGAAGGTACGAAGGTACGGCTCCTTTCTTCTTTATTTTGAAAATGGCCGGGTTGTTTTTTTTATTCTACAACAAATGGCTGTTGGATCATGCCCCATTCATTACAGGGGGGGGGGACTTCTAACTGATCCCAGTAGACAGGCGTTCATACAGTACCTGCCTCCTACACGAAGCGAAGGTTTTAGTGGAACGGTTACACGAATCTTTTACTCATCCTTTTAAAGCCGGTAGATTAACTGCACACCGGTGCATAACCCCTGCGGCTTGGTCTGAATCATACAGTTTCGATAGACACAGGTGCTCCCCGAGGACAGGAATCGGGGGAAAAAGTATGTACTCTGACATTGAAATAGTGGACAGTTAAATATGTCCATTAAGATTTTACGCTCCAAGCTCTATAGACAGACCTAAATGTATGATATGGATTAAAAACGTCAACTTCATATGGTAGTATTTTGCTCAATTTGGTCAAGTTGAAAGCTGGTAACAATTATTTCATTATTATCAGGTTTTAATCATGGAGTTACCATGGATTTTGTGCATTATTTCTCTCTGCTTAGTTGTTGACCTTTTGTGCTTTTAGGTAACTCCATTTACCTAAGTAAGAGACTTCCTGACACACATAAATATTTAACTTTGAGAGATGCTACGTTTTAGATGTTCTGCTTTTTTAAAATTCAAATATTTTGTTGTGTGATCATTACAGGAAATACATTTTATTGGAGTGGGAATTCCAGGGAGAGTGTATCTATTGATCTCCTATTACACTTTATTATTATTCAGTACCGTTTGACACAGTTACATTATCTTTAGATTAAGTAAATTACTAAATCGGTATCTTGTTTATTTAAAATAGGTGTTGTTACAAGCCTGTAACTTTATGCAACTCTCTTTATTTTTAAAGAGCTGCATTCCAAGCAAATTGTGCTCTTTGTCTTCCCCTTGAAAACAAACTAAAGATAATGTATTATTTAAGGCAAACCTAAAAAAGATTGTTTGCAGAGTATGCTTTGTAGTTGATGAGTATGGAGCCTGCTGACACTTAAATGTGGAAAGGTTCTCTTTCAGATGTTGGATGATGTTTCAAATCTTTTTTGTTTCTTGAAATGCATACTAAGTAACCACAAATACACATTATGCAGCTGGATCCAACAGAATCCTGTTAAACCTTTCCTGAATGTTTTAGATGCTTGTGATTTGAATGATCAGCAAATGGATATTTGAGGAACTCTTACATCCCTCAAATTAAGTGCAAGTCTGTAGTTAAAAGCACTTATTCTTTTTTTATTTAGAGAACACCTATAGATCTACAACCCAAAGCACACTGAAGCTGCGCTTCCTTTAGGTAGTAAAGCACTTTCAGAATGGTTGTCTTGTTGATTTCTGACAATACAGAAAATAACTGTAGACGCCCATCATCTGAGGAGCCAGCCTTGCGCAACCCCTGACTGATCAACTGTGAAATTATGCAGTCCTACCTAGAATGGAGGGAAGTACCCCCAGGGACTGCTTTTTTAAACCTACCCACATGTTTGTGAAAGACTGAGGCTTAGTTCTTGGATCTACAAAAAGGAATGGATTGGATCCAGTTGACATAGCTCAATAGGTCAAGAGTTTCCCCTAGAATTTGGGATCATGAGTGGCTAGTGTGGGACGTTTGAGATAGGGATGGTTCATCACTTTCCAGGAACGTACTGCTCCTGTTGATTGGCAGTCGATGGGTGTAAATCTTAGTTGTTTATTTTCACTCCCAGGAATGGGCTTGAAGAGGTGAGAGAGAATGAACTGCTTGGACTCTGATTACATATCCACATAGAAACACACACTAAATGGTTTGCATTGAGGAGCACCGTCATCATGCCATCATAGGAATAATGAGACATTTTATGTGAGTTGAGTAGAGTCTAGAAGGCTAGAGGACTCTTCCATTGAAATAAGTAATTACAATCATTAAAGACTGTCCAAAACTGTCAGTGTGCATGTTTGTGGGTATACAGTATGTCTCTTATATAGAAATGCCATCGCCAGAGCAGACTGGAAAACCCCTCATTTTTAATCCGATGCAAACTTTAAATAAACAGACTTAAAAGGTAAAAAAAACAAAAGCTTTTACTAAAATGGAAAACCAATGTTGCAGCTTGTAATGATTTTAAGATGGAATGGGATTAAGACCACCTTTAATGCTGATGGAGAGAGAACATCTCATATAAAGATGCTCAGGAGATGTGTGTGTAGGACTGCTTTCCTCCTATCTTAACCTAAAATAATTTATTACCAGCATTATCAGTAAGTTGTATTGTTGCTTGGAGGTACATCGACCTCCCCTGATATTTTGCTAAGCAAGAGCACACCATGTTACTCACTGTTCTACTGCCATAAAACTGTTGTGGATCAAGGATGTTGGCAACTTAAAAAGCATTTATTAGAATATGACAAGATACCTGCCACTCTGCTCCCCAGCTAAGATGTGTTCATACTTGTTTGTTGGTGTCTGTTTTTACACTACTGAAACCACCTTCATGTTGGCAAGAAAAAAAACCCTGGTACCGATAGAAGGGTTTGTAACACGATGCCTGTCATTGACATCCTGCATTCCTTTGTTGCTACACACTGAATAAAAATGAACCTCCCAGCATGGCAAGCCAAATAAGTCTGTTTATAGAAACCTATCTGTGTCCCTTAGAACTCCTTTCCCGTGTCTGATATCTCATCGGACTGCATTTAGAGAGAACAATGAAAATTTAACAGCAAATTTGTCACAGGCAGAGACCCAGCAGGGAAGAATAGTATCAGATTCGTAACATCTGTATGTTTTAAAAGGTGTAAAATTCAATGAGGAAGAGCAATTGGTTCAGTCCCAGTGATCAACTGTTTTTGTGTGAATGTGTACATCTCAAGTGTCAACACTGTTTCATAACTCCAGTGATGTACAATAAAAACTAAATGTTCATTACCTTTCCGCTTTGCTTTCTTACATAAAAATTTATCTCAATCAAAAGTTAGCTCTTTTGCAGAGCTGTTTGCACCAAGGAGGTGCAGATCACAGTTTCAGCAAATGTTTCTGAGTGTGCGGCATCTTTCTAATTGGAGGAAAAAACTCAAAGTAAGAATGTTCAAGCACCACTGCAGCTTATGTGCATTAAACCTTAAGTGGCGGTCTTTGCTGTAATTACTAAATTACTTCTAAATCTTGCAGGACCCTGTTATATGCGAGACACATGGAGATCCAGGGGGCAGCACTATTTCTGTGAGTGTTTAGTGATGAAGGGCTTTAATAGAGGCTTTTGCGACCTATTAATCCTTATTGGTACAGAAAATGTCAAATTCAAATGAATGCCAGACAATTAAATGCCATCAGTGATCCTCCTGCCTTGTAACAAAATAAGAATCCAGCACAAATCATGAGCCATGCGCATTGAAAATCTCTTTTATCTTTGTGGTTAGGCTTTGGAGTTGATTTGTTTTAATTTAAAAGTTTTCTGCTTCTTAATCTCTCTTTTTTATATACATATTTAACATCTGGAGGTATTTCAAGAATACCAAGCCGTAAACCTCTCTTCTTCAGTTGTCCTGTAACACAAGAGCAGATTGAAGGCGTGTTTTAAGTGGGGTTTCGTCGTGTATGACCGCTCCAAATGAGATTTAGACAAAGGTTACAATGTTGCTCTAAGGTTGTGATCTGAAGACAGCTGCACCAGTCCCCCGGCAAATAACTGTATTCTGTGGGTCTCTGACTCTGGTCCTGGAGAATCTCAGTCTTGTGAGGCTGAATTCAGTCGGTGGCAAAGATCCACATGAAACGTCTCGGCTAATGAAGCTAAGTAAGGGGGTCCAATTACACATTTGAGAGTTCATCCAGAATGAAAACCAGAAGACACAGCGATTGTCCAGAAGCGGGATTCGAGACCTCTGCTACAGGGAGTCTTAATGAGGACACTGAGCTCTTGTTAGAGGCTAGATTATTAATGACCAACTGCCAGGCGCAGCGCGCAGCCCCTGTGATGGAAATGTCAGAGCCAGGCTCAATCTAAAGGTGTCCCAGATTCGTTAGCTGGACAGAAGCTGAACGGGTCGAGAAGCTGTCATGGGTGAGAGCTAACGTCAGCCTGCGATTAAACCAGAGGAACTGGGAAGGCCAAAGGGACAGGAATAGCTGGCTGCAATGGAGATGGGGTGAATGTAACCGAGATGGGAGAGGCGTCTGGTATTATGTAATTTAAGACCTCCATAGTTAAGGGGCTCAGTCGATCTAAGGCATGCAGTTAGAATATTCTAATTGCTGCCTCGTGATCTCATTGCACTGGCACACTGGTAGGAGAGAACGTTTCTGTTTGTTTGCTGACAAGTGGCAAAAAATAAAAATAAAGGATCGGGTTGCAGGCCTTCTCTCGCGTTCCTTTCAGACACGGGTGTCCCAGTTGGGTTTAAAGCAGCGGGTCTAAGGCCACTTTGG